CCAGACATCCATGTGACACAGCACCCTCCCTCTGAATGGAGCCACAAGGCAAATGGCCAAGGAAAGGAAGTAAGAACAGAGCAGCCATACAGTGGTGCTTTCATTGATACTGCTCTCAGAAATGATGTGCCCTTGGGAGACTTCCTGAGCCAGAGCTAGTGTCATGATCTTCAACAGTCTTCAGTGGTTTTTCTCTCTGTGACTTCATCTACTCATTAGTATTTGCTTCAAATTAGTTTTTAAAAAAGGAAGAAAACTCATGTACATACTGCCCCGTCTGAAATGTTTTATGTGGTGCTATTGTATGGTTTGTTGTATTTTCTATAAAAACGAGTAATCTTTAAAACAGAAACTGGAAGATTTCCTGGTAGATCACAATCTGATTAAACACCATCGGGGTTTCGCAGTAATAAAAGAAGAGAAACTGGGAAATATAAAGCCAAATAAAGATGAGTTACTTCTTTTCCCTCCATTAAAACTTATCAAACTTTCTAGCATTTATCAGCAGCTTGGAGATTAAAAGAGTGAAAAATTGTCAGAAAAGACAGGGGAGCTGGATGTATTTTCTGTTAGATTTTATCTGCCATCTGTAAGAGTAACTTGTATCTGGAGCTTTTTAAGTTTTTTCCCCCCAAGTATTTTTTCCATGATTAGTGATATTATCATTTATAGTAGAGTTTCAGTGAGGATTAGATTCAGATAGAACAGTGGCTGCACTCTGAGTGTGGAAGACTGAACATCAAAGTCTGTTTGATAGATTTCTTTAATAGATTTTCCTATTCCACCATTTAAAGACATCTAAAAGAATGTAATTTTAAAAGGTATTGATCACTGCAAAGTTGTTTATGAATTTGCAAAAACAGATGTTACTTCTGAAGATAATAGCATTTTGCTGGTTTTGTGTAGGAGCCATCAAGCTGCATACTCCATTGCTAATGCCTAGAAATAAAAAACTGTATGAACATAATGAAGCTTCCTATTTCATGGATCACAGTGGGATGCTGGTTATGCTTCCTTATGACCTCAGAGTAAGTATCATCTTCCTTGCTGGCAGTGCTGGGGTTGAAGATGGCTGTTTGTCCATACATTTAGCTCACTGAGTTTGGTTTAATGTGTGCACTTTCCCTAACTGCTGAAGCAGTACATCTTTCAGCATCTGTTATGTTTTTCTTAATGCTGCCCTCCTGGTTTTGACAGCTGCAGCCCTGACTGTTTAGGGAAGAGGTGCACTATTTCCTTTTCTCTTTTTTTAACCAAAGGTAAAGGTAATGCTACATTATAAATGAGGTAGATGTCACTGCTGCTTTTTTTTTCTTGTGCGTACTTGAGGCAAATAATTTTACCTGTGATAAATGAAAAAATATTCTCATCCCTTTCTTATTTGTATGTCTTCCTAAAGAGCATGCAACATTCTTTCCAATTTTATGTCCCTAACATACACAGTTAAGCATCATTCTCCTCTGAGAGGAACAGCATGTGTAGCTGAAATCTTACTATCCATGATTCAGCACTACTCAATTATAGGTAATACTGGTGTTGTTAATTGCTTTGCACTTAATTAAAACTTAAGTGCTTTAAGTTTTATTTTTGTGTTTATTACTGACAGGTAGATAACCTGACCTTTTATCTCTTACATTAATTTAACACCAGTGTGACTCCCCTTTCCTTTGCATTTAGAACATTCAGTTATACAGTGTGATTCACAGTTAAGGACACATGCAGTATCTACAGTATTTATCTCTCTTTTGGACTTTTTTGTTTTGGAAGATGTGTTGATCAATGATTTATTAAACAATTTTTTTTATCTTTCTCTAAACAACAAAATAGCTGACAGTACATTTTAATAGGCTTCAAGACAAGTTTATGATGTATTTTGTCCTTCTCCAAGCTGTCCTAGGAACATTTTTTTGTTTTCCGTTGTTTTTTTTCGTGTTTGTGTGGTTGTTTAAGACTTGCCACAAAGATGATTTATGTTTTTTGGCCATGGCAAATATTTATGGCATTATTACATGTGAGAGTAGAAATGCTGATTGCATGCTAGTAATTCACCTGCCTCGTAAGGACATCACTAGACCGCTTTTGTTTGAACAATTTCTATTTTGTTTTCCAGATTCCTTTTGCAAGATTTGTAGCTAGAAACAATATATCAAACTTGAAAAGGTAAGGGACGTGTGGATGTTGTGCAGAGATGCTGTGCTACATGACACTGAATGCTGAAGATGCTGATTTGTTCTTCAACGTTTCCCTCAGATACTGTATTGAGCGAGTTTTCAGACCTCGGAAGTTGGACCGCTGTCATCCCAAAGAACTTCTGGAATGTGCATTTGACATTATTACATCCACTGGAAATAGCTTTTTGCCTTTAGCAGAAACCATTTATGCAATTTCAGAAATCATTCAGGAGTTTTCAGTGCTACAGGTAGATTCTCTAATTGTACCTTTTGATTTATGGTTTTTTTTTCCTCTTTTTCCATCTCAAAATGTTAATGTAAGTTAATGTACAGAACTTTCTGCTTACAGGTTTTACCAATAGTCATGTGTAGAACATTGTTGTGTGTTTTCGTAGGTGAACATAAAATGATGCAAAAATGTGTGTGTGCATCAGAAATACTAACCGAGTCCCTACAGTGCCATTGAAATAGATCTGCCTTCTGTTGGGCAAGTAATTACTGTAGAATGGGGCAATCCTTGCCACTCTTCATTTATAAATGAAAGGTAAGGTGATGGAAGGAGAGGTCTGAACAGTTGGAGATGTTACTGAAGGTTTAAAAAACATCTGTGAGTTTTCTTTTTGCATGTGTGTTTTCCTTAGTGTTTAGGTAAATAGAAATGCTAATAAAACGTTCCTCGTTTTCTTCCTTTTCATTTATTTATTTTAATTATTATTATTTTTTGAACTCAGGAAAGAAATTACAGTATCTACTTGAACCATACTTCCTTATTGAAAGCTATACTTTTGCACTGTGGGATACCAGAGGATAAACTGAATCAAGTTTACATCATTCTCTATGATGCTGTGGTAAGATATGAATTATTAATCTAATCTTCGTAGACATAGATTAGGGTATCTTACTTAGAGGAGCCATCTCTAAAAATGAGTAACAGGGCATCGCCAGCATAACAAGGAACATCCTGTTAGATATAAAGGCTGCCTACCTTTGGGCAGTGAACTCAGATTAATATGTTCTCAGTTATTTCTGAATTTGGATGTTTTGAGATAATTTTTTAAATAAGTATTCATGTGGTAAATATTCACCTGTGTAGTTAAGAACTGGTAAAAATAAATGAATCTTAATATCATAGTGTATTTTCTTTCCACTTAATAAGCAAAGAAAATGGATGAAATTAAATTATTAAGGTAGTATTTAAATCCAAAAAAATGTCTATTTCATAATGCTTTATGGTTCAATTTTTAATTATTTAATTTTATTTGTTATCATTTTAATTAACACATGGGAATTCTTGTATTCACTTACGCAGAAGTGCTTTTCAACAGAAGTTTACATTTTTATACTTCTTCCTGTTCCTTAGACTAAGCCAAATATGGCCTCACTAAAACGTCAGTAGAAAATGTGTTACTTATCAGCTTTGCTTTTTTACGGTACGATTGAAGTTTGAGAATACAGCCTGTAATTAAAAGCATTGGAACCTTGTGTTTTAATTCTTCTCAGCAGTAATGTTTGCTGCAACGTACTTGCTCTGAATATGTTTGCACTTCTTTCTCTTGCAGACTGAAAAGCTAACTAAAAGAGAAGTGGAAGCCAAATTCTGTAATCTCTCTCTCACGTCAAATAGTGTGAGTAATTTTAAGTTGTTGTTAAATTCCCCATAACTTGCCATAAGCTACTTAAGTTTTACTTACTTTGAAATTTACTCAACCAGGATGAAAGAATCAATTGTTAAATCCGCTGTCCAGAACAGATTAATCTCTTTGAAAGTGGTTTGAGTTTGTTCTGCTCTCCATTGCAGTATGGCTACTTTCCATGTTACTCTCTTCTCTTAAACATATTTTTGAAACTGTGGTAATGAAAGGGTAGATGGAATTCCGTACAGTGACATGTAGTAAAACAGAGAGAAATTATAAAAAAAAAAAAAGTCAGCAACCGTTGATGAGTGTGCATACAGAAAGTTGTGTTGATTTCTGGATGCCCCAATGAGAGTTGTAAATGTCCATTCCTTTCCTCAACTCAGTAGGTAGACAAAGGCTGCTAGGTCAAACAAGCAAAAAAAGGCTGATATTTTACTCGAACAGACAAATATTTTCCATTTTTCTCAAAGTGTTCTGTTATGAGCACCTTCACTGGTGCTATTTGTTGTTTTTGTTTTTAGCTTTCTCGACTCTACAGGTTCATTGAACAGAAGGGAGAAGCAAGTAATGTATTTCCATTTTTAAACACAATGATAAAACAAAAGCCAGGCGTGACTCAGCTGCTGAAGCATGGCATGAAGGATCTAGAGGAAGTAATCGGTCTGCTAAAACAACTTGGAATAAAACTTCAGGTTTGTAGAAACACTTTGCTAATAAATCAGTTGTTTGTAGGCTCCTGGGCCCTGCAATTTATCACAAAACAAGCTAATGATATTTGAGAGTAGAAAAAGCACGCTGAAAGATCTTTGATGGCAGGTAATAATATTGATAGTCATTTTGGGAGAGGTGTTTGAAGAACAAGATCTTTTTTCAGTTGGAAGTCTCTGGCTCCATTTCTATCTAATTACAAACGGATTATCTTTCCAACCAAGATTGAAGCGTAAAGAAATGTTTTGAAATAAGCTATAAATATTTTTTAAATGCAGAAAGCTGATGCTTACTGATCATGTTCCACTTTCCTTATGGCTTGCTGTTTAGTTTTCTTGTGATGTGTTAAGCTTCAAGTATTGTTTCCTTACTTTTTAATTGTATCTTAATCTTTGGAGATAATCTTTCCATATGTCTTCTTATGTGAGAACAGTCTTGTTAGCGCATACATCTAATAGGAAATACATTACATTAACCAGTAATGGTAGAGGAATTGTTCACTTATGCATTTTTATTTTACAGATTTCCATAAATCTGGGACTAGTTTACAAAATACAGCAACACAACGGTATCATCTTCCAGTTTGTAGCATACATCAAAAGAAGGCAAAGAACTGTGCCTGAAATTCTTGCTGCCGGGGGCAGATATGATCATCTGGTATGTGTACATCTCTTAATGAATTTATAGGAAAAAAGAACACAAAGAAGTGAAAAATGAAAAATCTTTCTGACATTTTCCAAAGATAACTATTTGGTTCTTTAGTTTTGTCTTTTTTTTTTTTATCTTCAGATCCCACAGTTTAGAGGACCGCAGGCAGTAGGACCGGTGCCTTCAGCTGTTGGAGTCAGCATAGCTATAGATAAAATAACTGCTGCTGTTTCCAGTATGGAGGATACTGTAAGTTTGGTGCTGGGGAGATGGGAATGTTTGTTTGCTTACTTCTGACAGTAACTTACCTGTAACCACAGATGGGCAAAAAATAACAGATTCAGATGTGATCCAAAAAACCATTCTGAAACAGCAAACATCAAGTTGACTTGTTTTCTTCCATGTCTACACATAGCATTATTTAGTGAAGCAAGGGAACAGGCAATCTTCAGTTTTAGAACTTTTTAATGTAATGGGCCTTTCCTCAGCTTAAATGCTGTTTCAGATGAAAGAATACAACTGTAGATATTCAGCTATTCTTATTTTGCCTCTTCCAAGAAGGAACTTTAAGAAAATGGACTTTGGATGTCACACAATTTCATTTGGTTGTGGAATATGTTATTTCATTAACTATTTTTTTGTAAGAATAAATTAACATTGCTAAGTTCATTGGGAAGGGAAGAACAGAATAGGCTGGGAGGCTTTTGTAGGCTGAGGCTTTGCAGTTGCTTGTTGTCAGAGTAAGCTTCAGCACCTTCCACATGTGCTCCGGTGGCTTTAGAAAGAGGTGATCTAACACCTTTTGCAGGTTGTTACATTTTGAAAAATGCATCCTTCTTAGTTACTTTTAACTCCATTAATAAACTGGAAATGGTCTGGTGGCTAATATTGTCCCCCTTGTTCTTACTTTTCTTCCAGATTTCTGTCAGCTCATGTGACTTGCTGGTTGTAAGTGTTGGTCAGATGTCAATGGGGAGAGCTATCAATATTGTTCAGAAACTTTGGACTGCAGGAATTCCAGCTGAAATAATGTATGACTGGTCCCAGGTAGAATTTCTATCTACATGTATTAATTATGTTGCTGTTCTCTAAGATTAGCACAGGCTGAGACCATCCTTTTTCAATTTTTTAAGATTAGTTGTAATTGAATCACAAATTCAGAAAACTGAAAATGCAGGTTGCTATTTGGGTAGATTCTCACTGTCCTTGCATGCTCTTCAGCTACCAGACCTTTTAAAAATGTGTAGGAGAACTCCTCAGAGCACAGTGGAATTAAGTGACCTTCCGTGGTTATAAACTGAGTGTAGAGTCCAAGGTGTATTAGAATGAAGGGGGAAAGTCACAGAATAAATTAAATGAGAGCTAACTGGCCTAATTTAAGCATATTTTGTACCAGTGAAGGCAATGAAAGAGGTGATCTGAACAGAATGGATCTCCAAATAGACCTTGGTTGGTTCCAGTTATCTTCTAAATCTGTTGAAACACATTAAAGGCATTTATAGTCTACAGTGAAGGCAGCTGTACATTGCAGGCGTACATCCTTGCATCTTTACCTATGCTGAAAGGAGACTGGACTGCATTTCACTTATCTTCTGTTACTAATGATTCCTTTTGGAGGACAGATGGCAAAGAGGAAACAGTCATTTACCCCAGTGCTGCCTTGCTGAAAGGGCTGGATAGCTGGGAGCGGTGTTGTGCTGGTGAGCATGCCTTGCCCAGAAAGTGGATCCAACCAACGTTCTGTGAAGGAACTGGGACTGCAGGGCTTAGACTTACATTTTGCCTAGAGTATAGACTTAAATTTTGATTCTTAGAGAATGTTAGGTGAATGTATCCATGCAAAATTAAGTTTCATCTCCTGGACTTGTTAGTAAAGTTTTCCTCGCTCCGAACTTTTCATATTGAATGTAACTGCTGCATATAAAGTTATTGTAACTGAAGACGGGAAACTGATTATTTAAGTGATCAGTTTAAATTTGTTAAATTTGCATCCCATTCCTCTTTCCCTTTTCCTATTTCAGTCCCAGGAAGAACTGCAGGAGTATTGCAGATGTTCTGGGATTACATACGTAGCTCTTGTATCAGACAAAGAAGGAAGTCATGTAAAGGTAAGCGTGGTATCAGAGGACATTCAGTAGTGTTTCAGGTTGATAAATCTGTTCTGTATTTTTTATTTCTTAGGATCATGAACATTTCATTTTTCTATCAAATATTTCAGTAGATGGAATTCAAGTAAATGTAGATTTGGCTGCTAAGTACTAGAATGTTAAAAAAAAAAAAAAAAAAAAAAAAGGAAAAGCCCCAAACCTAATAAGTTCTTACTAATATGGTATCTGCACCTCTGAACCATTTTGTTCAATGTCATCTATCACATATGAGATAAAAGTAGATGAGATAGTTTAAGCTTTGGGAATGTGGAGTAGATTAGTTGGTTGAAAATATATAGAAGTCAAAGATTTAATGGACAGTGATTGATTGCTAATGATGACAGCTTCTTCCATTTGACTGCTTCACCTTTAATAGGTGAATAACCCAGTTTGGTCTTGAGACATTTATTCATATGCTGCTTTAAGAAACAACATTAAGACTCACTGAAATACATCATAGGTGAAATCCTTTGAGAAAGACAGACAGACGGAGAAAAGGATTTTTGAATCTGACTTAGTAGATCACCTGGTCCAGAAACTGAAAACTAAAATCTGTGATGAAAGATGTAGTAGGTAAGTAAAAAAAAATTCTTCGCAAAGTAAAGACATAAATATGGTTTTCTTAATGAAATAATTATATACTCAGTTAAACCTTGGTAGTACTCAACACAGAACATGAGCTTTACTGATTTCTTTCTGATTTTTTGAGGGGAGAAGAAAGCAAAAGGCTTAGCTACAGAATTTTATTATTAAGAGACTGATTTCCCTAGAAGCTGTTATACTGAAACATGGTTAGTGCTTCTCAAATTAGAAGACTATGTATGTATCCATCCAGCTCAAATGAAACTAAAACAGCAGTATCATTTGTATGGCAGGACTGCCTGCAAGTTCCCATTACTGACTAGAAGTGATTTACATTCATGCACTCTGTAATTGAATTTAAGCAGCAGGTCCCTCTCATTTTGAGGCAGTGCTAATAGGGTAAAAATGAATGTGTGACTCCAGCACAACTGCATACCTAGACTGGCACACGTGAAAGTAACACCTGGCCAAGACTCAGGGTGTGCAGCAGGACTGTGTGTCTTTGCTGAAATTACTCTTTGTTGTGCTGAACAGCAATGCAGAAATCACAGGAAAGGCAACAGTTACACTGCTGTGCACAAGCAGTAGAGCTGTTACGCATAGACTTTATAAAATATATGCTGGAACACTGATTTATACATTTGTATTACATATATGTACATGTGTATGTAAATACGGTAGTGATAGCAGGAGGAGTGTCTGAATTCTAGTTTATATGAATAAGCCAACAGATTGGATATCCGTAATATTTCTGAATTAACGGTAGAGAAAATCTTTAAGCTATGAAATGCGTAACTCAAAAATGTTGTGTACAGGTGGATGACATCTGCCCACCTCCTCATTCTTCCTTTATCTGGCCTCTGCCAGTTGTGGCATTTTGCAACTAACCTCGTTCTCATGTGTTTTGGCAGATCTGTAGGATCTATATATTCTTTCATGCTGTGAAAGAAAAGCATACTTTCTAAAGACTACCTTTAGATCCTGGGAGCAGAATACAGAGAAAAAATCATATTTGGTAATAATAAAAATGCAACAATTACAATCATAGTAGTACTGTCAAAGTAAATGGATCCAAATAATCAAAAGTTTATTTTGATTTGTAAGATCTCAAGCGTAAATACTGCTTTGGTATTCTGGTATCACCAGTATCAACTCTCAGAAATCTGAGTTGATTAAGTTAACGATTTAGAGACAAAATTTTCTTAATATATTCTAGCATTAGGATCTAAATCACTCTTGAATCGTGGGCAGCACAGCTGTTTGTAGCTAAAGTTAACACAAAGGTTGCTGTGCTGTTGACAAGCAGTAGTCCAATACAATAGCAATACAGTCATTTGTCGTTTGCTGGGCCTGATGCATCAAATTTGCTAATGTAATCCTGTATGAGTTCCTGTCTGTTCCAGAACAAAACATAAATTTATCTGTTGGAATGAAATAAGTGTGCATGAACCACAGCCTGAAACCATGTGTTATCAGAGCATGCCTTCATTATTGTTAATTTGTTTCCTTAACTGTCCTTGTTAACTTTCAGAGAAACCTCAGATAACCTCTCAGTACCAAACCAAAAGGGATCATTCGCTAATAGTTCAGGTATTTATTCTCCACTTAATAAATCACTGAAAATGATTTCTCTTTGTGTTGAGTTCTGTTAGAAGATCTTGCTGGATCATACATTCTGCAAGTATTGCCAAGGTCAGCATAGGGACACATTTTCTAGCAGTGCATCTTCTCAGAAACACTTCCCCCTACTCTCAAACATGTTTCAAAGTGAATTAAAACAAACTTTCTCCTGGGTCTGTGCATTAAATCGTTTCTTCAATCTTATAATAGCTTTCCTTTGTTGATAACTGTGTATACTAAGTTCTTTTATAAATTCTGTAAGCCATTTGGAACCTTTTAGTACAGCACTTTCTTGACATAAGATATCAAATTTTTATTCACATCAGCCAGCCTTTCACAGTCATAGGCATGCATTTTGAGAACGTATATGCTTATTTCACCTCCAATGGGCTTGATTAACTGTACTTTTTAGCAGCTTTTTAAATCCTGCACTACATGTTAAGCTTATTGGTGAATTTTCTGTTTCTCGCTACTTTTTTTTCCTATTATGAGAGAATATAATGTAAAACTCTACATTTTAGGTGCATTTGAGTCGCATGGAACTCTTGTAGTGCCTAATGTCAGTGTTATAGCTCCTGAGAAGTTATCTGCCAGTGCCAGACGTCGCCAAGAAATTCAGGTACACGTGTGCCCAATAAGTATAAAGAATTAAGCCTCTGAAATACAGTATTATCGTAATGTAAAAAGATTGCACGATGTGACAATACAATTATCAGTCTGCTTACTTACAGTGAGTGGCTTCAAGATATTAGAGTACAGAAGACAATATTAATGTAAGGCTGCAAGTGTTTCTATAAAATGCTACCTTTGCAAAATTATCGTAGCTTGCTTGCTAGCTGTATAGCTGTGTACGTATAGATACTTGATGTATGTAAGTATGAAGAAGAGCGAGCCATACTGTGCTGTGCCCTGCAGTCATAGGTTCTCACCTAATGGCCAGAAAGGCAGCTTGTAACTTCATATACCAGGCTTCACAACCTAATGTGCAGCCCAGTCTGCTTTAGTGCAGTACTGCTACTACCAAATCTGTATCATTACAGCAAGATTGTTCAGCCCCAGTCTCCTTCCTGTCTATTTATCAAGGTTTGGTGTGGATGTTACTGAAAGTGATACTGACGGTGAATTTTAGTTTAAATGTGTAGTTCTGCATCTCATGCTAGAAGCAGCCTCTTCTGTTCTCATAATCTATGAAACAGAGAACAGTTGTTTTCAACCTGGGTCACAAAAGCAGTGAATTACTTTTGGCCATCTTTTGTTGACAGGTGCAAACAAGACTGCAGACATTTGTTTCTAGCTTGCAACAGAAAACAAGTGAAATTGAGATTTTGGCAGTAAGTATTTTGGCAAAAGCTTGAATTAATTTCAAATCTGTAATCGAATTCAATGATGCATCTGGAAGAAATTGCTACTACAAGCCTTGCATTAGGGACAGCAAATTAACCAAAGAAACTCTTGGCCACGTTGTGCATCTTTAATCCTTGAGAAGTATCTCAGACTGTTTGTAATGTCCAATTGTACACACCAAAATGGAACAAGTACTTAGTTGTAAGGTCTTAAGCTGTACTTATCCTGTTGTGGTAATTTAGTAACTTGTTCCTGCCAGATTTGTTCTTACAGTTAAACTGATCCAGCTGTTGTATATGGCTTTCAGACTTTGGTGTATGCTTTTCAAGAAAAAAGTACTTCCTATTTGCCTGCACCTGTATGGAACATTCCATTATGGAATCTGTCTTTACCAGTTTATTTTAAATGCTTTGTATATTCCTAGCACTGTCAGCATGAGTGCTTCTTTGGAATTGAAAAAGTGACTCCCCTTACTGCAGCTAATCTCCAGTTGGCAAACTGATGATAGAAATGTTAAATATTTGATTTCTTGATATTGCTGCAGGTAGATCTGCCAAAAGAAACTCTGATACACTTCTTATTATTAGAGGTAAGCAATTAAGTATTGTAGTTGAAACTCTAGTGGAAGTGTAGGTTAGATGAACGTACAATTTGCCTGTTGTATTTGTTCTCCTTTGAAGAATTTGAATTAGGCTTTAAAACCTGAAAGCAATTTTCTACCCAGAGAGCTTAACTGAGGCTAGAAAAACCTTTTTGGAAAATGCTCAAGTTACACAAGACACCATTAGGAGATCCTAATCCAAAGCTATGGATTTTTCCCAGAAGTTATCTGAAATCCAAACTTGTGTATTTTCCAAAACATGTAAGTTTTAACTTGCAGTCTCAGCAAAGTTGTTTCTTTCTTGAAGCTGTTTATGAAGGAGGACCCAAAACACAGAGGCAGTTGATACGAGTACAGCAGCTGAAACTTCTTTTCTTAGTAAAGCCAAGAAAAACAGAAGATGTATAAGTATTATATAGGCCCCTTTAACAATTCAGAAGCTATTTGATTAGGAAAAAAGAATGCTGTAGACAAAGCAGTGGCTTTGAAGTCAGAAGTTCTTAACTACAGTTGGAGACCTCTCCATCTTCCCCAAAAACACAAATGACATCCTGCCTATAGAAGGATGTAGATCTAGTACTCCTTTTAACGCCTCCCACAACGCTGCTCTGCTCTGAAGCAGTGCTCACACAGTCATCAGACTTCAGTGAAACATAAGAACATGTCAAAATACCTATTTCACCCAGTCTTCCAAAACATGGAGATAGTTTATCATCTCTCGCTTCAAAAAAGGGAACAGGCACATGATCAGCTTGTATCATTCAATTTTCACTGCCCTTATGCTAAAATTCTCATGTTCCATCCAGCACTGCTAAAAGGACAGAGCTTCTTTGTTTGCTGAACTGTCTTTCTTAAGCAATCACTGAAAAGCCTCATTCTTAACACCTTTTCTTAAACAATAAAGGCAAGTAGCATTAAATTACATTTAAATCCTTTTAATACCCTGTTTGATTAAGGAGAATTGACATTACACTGTTCAGAACACTGCATCCTTCCAAGAGAAGCACTTCCTTCACTAGAGAATACTACAGTTTCTTGTCATTTTATTCCTTAGTTTGATGGAGCCAGACATGCCTTTGATGCTACTGTAAGACAACTGATGTCACGATGGCCAAAACAGAGATGTTCATACTTGCAAGCAATCTGTGATGAAATTTACAGTATCAAAATGGAGAAGAGGTAAATCTAGGTTCTTAAAGGTGCATGAAATATCCCATCGATTTCTGCATTTCAGCTTCATCTAATAAGCTGCTCTTCATTTGTTCTCCCCTTTCCCTCTCCCCAAGTACAAAAAAGAAATATTCAGGCCTGTTTCTTTAAGTGCTATTTTTGGCTAACAGGAAACAAAATGGGGGGTTAACACCATCTAATCCTCACTTCAGGTAATCTAAATTCTACACTTCGTAAGCCTTTTCAAGAAATTCTAAACTGCACTCATTTATTTATTTTGTTGCTTTCTTCAAACTGAATAGTAAATACAAATATGTTCAAGTATGTTTCCACTACTTGTTTCCACAAGTGCACTGTGACCCTCTTTCCTTGTGGGTGGGACTTCTGAGTTCCTCCTGTTTTGAAAGAATACAATTGGAATCTGACACAAATTTAAAAAGATTATTTTTGTTTCCTTTGCAGGGTTCCTGTGCTCATCCTGTACAGTTACCGAGATGAATGCAAGGTTTTGTTTTAGTGCTCAGAGCATCTTTTATGGGATGCTCTTACTAACAGACAACAGTGTTTTCCACAAAGGAATTTCATGTGTAATATAAGCTGTAAATTTATTCCAAGAAATGGAAATAAATGTTTTATAGGTATTAAAGAAGCAGTCTGACTACAGCCAGAGATATGTATTACTGTGTAATTCTTGCTCCCTTACAATGGAAATTAGCAGCTGTGTAAGTGTAAAATGATTTACTTAAATTCAGCTTAGAATGCCATTTATGTCCTTATGCAGCAATGCTGAAATGAGAATCTCAGTTCAAGGATTAGAGAACATGATTATCTTCCACTGTAAATGACTTTTGATGAAGAACTTTTGGGTAATAAAAGGTTTGACTACTGAGCCTTTCTGAAATATGTATTAGGAAGTTTTGTCTTTTTTTAATTCATCTTAAATCTTTCTGTAAAACATAGTAGCTGAATTCATAAAACATATGAAGCTGAATTGCGCAAGCCTGGCTGCCTACATCCATCCTGCCCCCACACTTCCCCATTCAAAACAAACAGCTGCTTCATGGGAGACAGAACTTAAACCCTATGCAGAAAAACTTATTTTAAACCTGAAGGTCCTGAAAGTAAGACTTCAGAGAAACCTGACATACTTAGAAGCGTAACAGAAGTTTTGAACTAGCAAACTTAAGTTTAGAATCCACATGAAGAAAGCCTTTGAATACATAATGATTAAAGGAATCTTAATTTCTTTTTGAAGCTACAGCTTCCCAGTCAATGCTGTTTCGAATTACTAGTGTGTGTATTTAAAACTAAGCTGCACTACCAACACATCAGGAAAAATAAGCTGAATAAATGTAAGGATGAGTAACAGCCTTAGTTGCTGTATATAATGCATTATATGTCACATCAATCTCAATATACCAGAGTGAATATGCAAAAAAAGCAATCTATGTCTGGACATACACTGGTGTTTAAGTAACTTGTTCCTGCTTCTTAAAACAAACGATTGTTCTCAGCACTGAAGGTCGGTGCATTAAGAAATACCCACCTATTCTGCCTTTTTCTCACAGCGACAAGGAGGGTGAAATTAGAACATATAAAGATGTAAGGTCAATGACAAACCAGCCCAAAAACCTCTGAGAACTGTGAGGTTGCAACAGCAACATAAAGTAACTCTGGCAGTACTGGTCCTGAAGTCACAGATAATGGGATAATTCCTAGCCATTCACCAGACAAGTCACATCAGTCGTTACAACTAAATCCATTTCTCATTGTGTTTAATAGGAACAAGTAAGTATTCATCTTTTACATCTGCTCATATGAAGGAGTTACTTTACGATGTGAAAATGGGGAAATCCAGATCCCTGAATATGTTGAAGGATGAAGCCTTAAAAAACAAACGCTCAGGTGACACAAGCATTCTTAAGCTATGTTGAAGGAACCATGATGCAGTATCCTGCCCTGCCCTCCCCGCCCCAAGCCAGGCTCAGCACAGCTGGGTCAGCATGGAGAAAAGGCACAGCTGCTAAGCTCTGTGGGAGCTCAAACACATTCTGGCTGCCTTACAGACATCTGTACTGCATCGTGTAAACAAGTCCCTCAAAATAAGACAAACAGGAAAGCTGCTGTTCCTGGTAATAGGTTGGCACCTGCTTTCCCTGGTATTACTGCGGCTTATCTATAAAACTGGGCATCTGTCACCAAGACTCCTGTTCCAGTCTCACTTTGCTCATGGTGCTGTGCATTACTCTTCACCCGTTATTCCCTAGATGGGTTTTGCACTGCCCACTTGTATAATACAAAACATACAGCAGTATAAGTACAAAACTAGTTGGCAGACGAGTGTAAAGCTATTCTGGTAAAATCTTGTAAATACTCCTGCCATACAACAATCCACAGAAAGCACCTTCTGCCTTTCAATTTAAACAAAAGTACTGATCACATCCCAGTATCCTGCTGGAAAAGAAAAGCCAAAGACAAGTGGTAACTCAAAAAGAAATGGACTTTGCTTTGAGCAAGGGTCAAGTCTATTACAGTGATGGTAGGACACTGTCCATCACTGCGTTGCTTTACTCTTCTTGTTTTTGCTTTTCTTGTCCTTTTTCTTCAAGCCATCCATGTTAGCTCTCAGCAAATTAGAATACGCCTGAAACAATAATTAGAACCATTAAAAGAAGAGATACTTCAAGTATATGCTAGTTTACATACTGTTCATGGATGTGTATCTTCATTTTCTCAGTGACAGACAACCTTCCTCTACTACCCTGGGAAACTTGTTTCTAAACCAATGTAGAAAGTTAGATAAAACCACTGAATTGTTTTACATGGATGGATGTGTGCAGTCTGAGATTAATCTGTATGCCAGTGCAATGCTGAACCAACCTGGCCCCAGCTCTCCATTGCTCCTACTGCCTACTCCCCAATACCTACAGAAAAGGAAAATAGAAGGCTTGCAAAACTTACCATCTGGAATTTATTTACTTCCTTTGAGCTCACCTACAAAAGTAATACCAGAGGTTAACCAAGAGAGCACTGGCTTCCATTACAAGCTATCAGTACATATTCACCCACCAGTAGCTATCTCTTTTCACAACATCACGTATATGTACATATACACATAGGCTGTACTGACATGCCATAATACTTCACTGACATAGAAAACTGAAAACACTCCTAATTAGATTAAAGCAATCCTCGGAAGGCTGTCCTTCCCAAATCCACTCATTTTCACATAGGAAAGAGGTGAAGAAACATTCTAGTAAAGAATATTTGCTTCTACTATGAGGCCACGCTTTAATTGTAGGTGGAAACACAAATCCTGGAATGAAATGCTATAGCCCAGATTCTCTCAATTATTTCTAAAATTAATGCTTTCCCTTAGATTACATCACAGAGGACATTTAAAGTCAGCTAAAGCCTTTCCCAATCTCTTATTCAAAATAAACACATCAAGTCCCCAACTTCAAAAGTTAACATTTCCTGAAATACAAGAAGCTCTGTAAATGAGGGAGGGGGTAATTTAAACAAACAAAGAAACCTAGGCACGCTAAGTAAGATTGAGCCTTCAAAGCGTCTGCCCCATACCACATATCCTTGACAAGAAACAAGAATCCTTTTTCTACTATTTCAGTCAAAGAACATTTCCCTATTTCCTGGCTGCTACAGTAATGCCAGGCCTACCTTTGTTAATTCCATCAAGCTCTATAAGAAGCTGCCTCCATCACCTGAGCTTGACTGTAGGACCTTTCTCCCTGGAGCCATGGCATTTTTCTCACCCTGCAGGTTTCATCACTGTCCCGTGGCTTTCTGCCCACACCATCCTCATCTCTCTAGAATCAGTTTCCCCTCTCCCTCCCTCAACACCCAAGGTTGTGGAAAACAGACACAGTCCTTTCCTGCTTGCTCAGCAATACCATTTTGAAGCAAAATCTGGTAAAGAAAGTACAACTAAACAGTTGTCCTATCCGTAATATGCTTAGTAAATGTAACGTTTTGGCATCCCAATGTCAGCTGTGCCTTCAGTTCAGTGTTGCATAAAAGCCAAGCAGGGCTGCTCATCATTCTAACACAGAGCTGTCACTCACCACTGTGCTGATTTTCTTCTTTCCATCAGTAGCTCTTAGAAGACACTTATTGTCTGCTGGCTCAAAACTTTCTACGTGGCCTTTGCGTGGAACTGGTTTTGTTCGACCATCATCTGTATTGGCAAATAGAGAATGTTTATTCACATTTCACTAAAATCATGCGATGCCTGTTGACCTGAGATGCTAAAAATTGCTCATGAGATCAGTAAAACACCTTGAAATTTAAAACAGCCTCAAATGAATGAAAATTTTTCAGATCCCTCCCTCTGCAATTGCAGAATGGTCCACCACATAAACTGGTTCTGCCTGAAAAGAAAGCCAAGAAAAATATGCAAGCTCTCCTACAGACACGCTGTATGGGCTGCTTATTTCAGCAGCACCAGGCTTCAAACGTGATTTAAACTACGGCCCCGGGTACCTATTGCAGAAACAGCACGGCCCAAACGGGGAGGAATCTCAGATCACAGCCTGCCCACCCTTCTCGTGGGAGCAGGGCCCCTCGAGCTGCCACCACCTCGCCGTGCCGAACCTGCAAGGTCTCCAGAGCTGGAAGACCCGCCACAGCCCTGAGGAGGTCACTCCAACCACCCGCTGTCCTCACAGCACGGAATTTTCCTCTCACATCCAGTTGCAACCCACCAATAACTATCGAGAAACTTAAGAAAGGTTAAGAACGTTTTAATTCTCCGTTTCCAGAAGCCTAAGAGCTTCCAAATAGCGCCTAACAACCAGAAAGCCCCCACGCTGCCCGCAGCTCGAAACACAGCCGCAGGGTACCGGCTCCGTCGGCGTGCGCCATGCCGCTCTCGCCAGACGCCCCAAAGACGCCCACCCTCTTAACGCAGCACCGATTTAAACCGGCACCTCTTAACGCCGCCGCAGCCACACCGAACACTTACATTTCTTCAGCGTTATGAAAACGCTCCCCGAAGTCCTGCACTTCTGGAAGAGTCTCGTCAGCTCCGTGAGGAACTGCAACACAAGCACACCACACCGCCTGGCTGAGGATTCTGCCGCCGGCCCGCTCGCCCAGAGCCGCGCGCACAGCCCCGACCGGGGGGGGCCGGGCCTGGCGCGTCCCGGGGTCCCGCCCGGCCTCCTCCCGCCACGGCCGGCACGGGGACGCCTCGAGCGGCCGGTGACCGGCCGGAGTCCCGCGCGCCGGGCCCCGAAGCCCCGACCGTGCGGCTACGCGGCGCGGCCCCACCTGCTCGCTCTCCAGCAGCACCATCGCCCCGCTCAGCTCCACGCCGCGCAGCCGGGCCGGAAGCGCCGCGCTCGCTCACTCACTCACGCACGCGCTCGGAAGCGCATGCGCGGTGCGAGGCGGAGCTACGCGCACCCCACCCTTCCCTCCCGCCGTGGGAGAGACCGAGTGGGCCCGGCGTCTCGCGCACGGGGGGCGGGGCCGGCGCCGACCGCCTCGCGAGGCCCCGCCCCGCCGAGGGGAGCGCCACGTCAGCCACGCGCCGCCGCCGCCACGTTCCGGCGCGGCGTCTGCGGCGCTGCGACGGGCGGCGCTTCGGCTGCTGGCGCCTCGGCCTGCTGGCGTGGCGCTGCTGGAGCGGGCCGTGCGAACGGCCGACCTTAGGGGGGAGAGTCGCGGGCTGGGGCGACGGTGAGCGGCGGTCTAAGGCAGCGCGCGGTCTCGGGCCTCGCAGCTCTCGTCCCGCGGAAAGGCGATTTGTCGTCCCTCCCCACGGCCACAGATGTGGAAGGAATTCCCTACAGACGGATAGAAAGGAGATGCGCGGGTGGCTGCTCGGCCCCGGCAGCGGGCGCTGATCCCTGCACACGGCGGTGCTGCGGGAGGGCCGCCGTGCCTCCTCGCGTGGTCATCCTCGGGGGGGTCGTTACCCAATACATTAAAAGCACAACAAACAAGCAATTTAGAACCGGAGTCCCGTCCCCAAAACGTCCGCTCTGTTGTCGGCAGTCGCTCGCTGTCTTCTTGCAGACAAACCGCGAGGCAGCAGAGGGCGCTATGATCGCGCACAGCCGGCGTTGCGCAGCAGCCATCACGGCACCGCCGCAGTCGCCCGTACGGGAACTCCGTTCTCACGGCGGCCCGGCAAGTGCGCACGTCCAGCGCTGCCGTTCCCTCACCGTGGATGGCCTTATCCTCGTCGTGTTTTCCCACGTGTGACAGCTGAGAAGGGAAGGTTTCAGACATACAAATTCACCTGTGAGGAGCTTATTTTGCTTAAGTCTTCCTGAAGCTGACATTCTCAGGAGACACAACCCATGCTGTGCTCAGAGGTGTGGACAGGCCAAAGCCCTGTCCGGGCTCAGATGGGGATGGTTCCTGCCCCTGCAGCCTGTATCCACAGTGAGCCGAGGCAGCCGCTGCAAGGAGTCTCTGCAGGGATGCGCTGCCTCCAGTGCTGCCCATTTGGGGAGCGGGCACAACGAGCTCCTCATTGGAGAGGTTGTCATGGTTTGATTTTCAGGAGAGACCTGAATGAGAATGATGCAGTTGTGTTGCAGATTTTTATAGGCAGCTTGTGAAAACAAAACAGAAATGGAAATACTAAAACAATTGCAACATACTCCTCCTTGGAAACTACCATGGCCACAGAAACCGAAAGGCAAAAGAAACTTCACTCAGCTTGCCAAAAGAGAAGAAGGGTGGTCTTGTAGCTGAAGCACAGGGATTATAGCCCTCATCTGAATGCTGACCCCTCCGTGCACCAGTGAGTTCTTGTTCTTCTCCTCACTTTCCTGTACCACTGCTCCTCTCTCCTGAAGACAAGGGCAGATGCATGTTTACTCTCTCTTCATCTTATGCAACAAAAACATTTAATGTTGTGGGATGAGCACAGTTTTCCCCCATTTTGCATGAAAATCTCAACCTGATGTTGGGAGCTGCCATAATTGTTTCCATTTTAACCTAGCTATCCAGGCAGCAGTAGCAGTGCAGCTACCGTATCAGGGGCTGTACAGTTCTTTGCAGGAATTTGTAGTGCCAAAGGCTGTGATAGCAGTGTATGCTGGGAGAAGGGAGGAAGGGAAAACCTCTATGAAGCAGAACTTTTCTGCAGACAGACAGACACTACTAATTCAGGAAGGAGAGTAAGTATTTCAGAGCAGAGGAGCAAGAAAAAGAAACCACAAATGGAAAGAGCACACATTCCAGACAATGGGAATACAGAGAAGGCGGGAACAACTGTTCAGAATTCATTGAAGACTAATGTGTGTTTCCAGCATGCAACTTACTGCATGCATTTAAAACATGAGAAAGGTTTAGGAATGCATGTTTTTGGAAGGCCCTTGTCTCATGATAGTTAATGTACCAAGATATGGGGGAAAAAAAGGAAACAACCTGAGAAATTTGCACCCAGCATTCTGATTGTTCAGTTCCTCTTAGCGTTGCTTGGTGCCCGTAAAATACAGATTACGGGCAGAGGAACTCTACCATCTCCTGTTCTCCACACAAGCACTCATGGATGTTCACATGCCATAGCCATCATTGCTATGCAAGACTCCTGTCTGTTCACAATGTACTGAGATTGCTTTTGTACAAATTGAAAGGCCTTCCCTCTTAATAGGGGATTTTACTGCTATGATATAGAACTCGAGAGACTTGTATAAAGTTTACATTTTTCAAATGTATTGTTTTATCAGCAATTTTTATCTGAAAACCTTTGAGACTGATAATAAAAACAGCAATTCCACTGAATTGCTGAATTTGTTTCCAAAAGAAGTGCAGCAGAGGTTTTTGGGGTCTTTTTTTTTTTTTTTTTTTGAGCTTATCTTTCCAATCACGAAGCTATTTTTCAAGCCAGAATGTCACAATTTAATTAGGGGAGAAGCCTTCATCATAACTTGCAAACAAGGTGAAAATGGAATATTTTTAACGATTCTTTTCCAAAAAAAGAGATGGACCGGGGGAATGCTGACACTGCTTTAATTTTGCCAAAGGCTGCCAACATTCGGAAGGAATAAGCTATGTAGCTGGTGAAAAAGTGCTGAACAAACACTGAAGGAGCTAAAGGGATACTCCCAATCACGATACACTTGCTTTTCACTTTATCTGCTGCCCCAGCTTAATACCTTCTACCTCGCCCTCTGCCCCCAGAAAAAAAATAAATAAATAAAAAAGAGAAGATGGGTTGGATTAAAACAGTAGCAAGAGGAATGGCTGGATCTCCAGAGTTGGCAGGGGCATTAGTATTTTGTAACCCAATCTGTCATGTGACTAGAGCCAGGCAATAAAAATAATCTTCTACCAGCCCTCCTGTTTGCTCAACTTTATTATATGGTGTCAGTAGAGATTGACTTTTTTTCTTTCCTTTTGGCAAAAAATTAGCAAATGAAGCCACCTGAATCATTAAATCGTGAAGGAAATCTGGCATGGAACTGGAGGAGGTTGCTGCTGTGCTTCCAAGTTTTCCTGGAAGCAAGCTTGTACTGAAAAGAAGTGGAGGTGAGACCTTCTCCTCTGCTAAGTGTGCTGGGAGAAGCAGGAAGAGGAAAAACAGGATTATCAAAAGTAAATTGCATTCTTGATCAACTTTATTAGAAGTTGGCAAAGACCTATTTGAACAGCCTAGAAAAGGTTATTTCTCGTTAGGGGCTGTCACACAGTCAAATTCAGCTGCAACACACCACAGTGAGGAGAAATGTAATAACATACCATAAATTACCGTTTGCTCACCACACTGCTCCAGATGAGTTAATAACAGATAATGACCCACAATTCACAAGTGGATCATTTTGGTAATTCACTTTGATGTGTAAGTTTAAGCATGCCACGTCCAAGTATAACCATGCACAGGAAAAAGAATCAGCATTACAGCAAAACCCCAGCAAAACACACACACTCTCCTTGCAAGTCTGTCATTAGCACTGTAAAAACAGAGGTGCACACCTCAGTGCTCTCCTAGCTTCACCAGATCTGAGATTAATGGATAAAGGAAAAGCTCTCTACAGCCAAAATTCAACAGCAGCTGCTTGGGAAGAAATAAAATTAACCCTGAGATAGCTATCAAAATGTCCTCCAGAAAGAAAATATATATAGAAATATTAATATTATATATATATATATTATATTTTATATTATAAATATAAATATATATATTTTATATATAAATATATATAGAACTAGAAATATTTCTCAAAACTCTAATGCATCACATTGTTACGGTAGAGAAAACTGATAGTTTTCAGGGAGCAGGGTTGGGGAGGTGTGAGTGGACCTGTGCTGGAGACCGTGCCTATGAGGCATGCAGCCAGGCCACAGCTCTCCCCAGCAGGCTGCAAAGAACTGCTGTGCTGTGCCATGCCTCACACAGGGGTTACACAGCCTCAGGTGGAGGCTGCACGGCTGAGAGCGCTGTGCCACGTGGCACAGCCATCCCAAAGTACTGACCCAACAGTGGCATCCCTTTGGAGTCTAGGCAGATGGGACACTTGTGTAAAGCAAGCCAAAATGACCAGGACATGGTCCCACACTTGCATATGGTCCCACATTTTCCACGGCCAACATTATAATAACTTGGCAGCTATACCTTGTTTATTTAATACTCTAAAAGCAAGAATATTATCAGTACTTAGGGATGTGATGTTCAGTGTGCACCTCATTTACATTTTTTTTAATATTACTGGAATACTATAGCAGGTACTGAAATGGCAGACCCAGGCCTGCGTTTGAACCAGGAGGAAGATTTGCATGAAGTTCAAGCACATCTCATACACACACTTTGACTTTCACACAAGAAACTCAAAGACTTTCTGAAAATAAGCCACCAAATTCATCTCTCTTGCAGTCTCACTGACGTCAGTACAGTCATAGTGAAATACAGGACGTCAGAATTTGGTAGCTGTTAGCATAACTTCTCTCTTCAGAGCTGTAAACAATAAACCACAATTTTACTAGGGTTAAAACTTTGCTAGTATCTTTAAATGAGTTTCATGATATGACCTTGAATTTCTGCGGATCTTTTTAAGTCATCTGTGAACTCCAGCAAGTTGTCTGTAGAGCAGGAGAAGGCCTGTACAATATGGTGCACCTTCTGGGTGCACTAGAAATGATATTTACCAAACCTCACAGCTCATCTCCCCAGAAGAGAGAAGATATATAATCATCACTTCATTTTGTACGGCAGAGTTTTAAGCAGACATCGAATGTCTGGTTAAGAGCTGTGCAAAGCATCAGGGAGGTAATTAAGCTGGAGCTCAAGAGTAATGAGGTGACAGAGATTGTGTTGAGCATCATTTCTTTCACGTTGATGTGTCCTACTTTAAGAAACACAGAAATGCAGTTGTGAAAAATTTCCACCAGATAATCCCAGTGAGGT